TCTGTCTCTCACCCTCAAATCAACTGTTAAACCCAAAACTTCGACGGTCTGGGACAACACTTGGAGCTCCCTGTATAAATATGACCTTCTCAGGGTCAGAGAGGATGTATTCGTTTCGACGAGTTTTGGGCAAAATCTAAACAAATAGCCAACATCCCAGCTTTTAGGTCTTTTGAAATACACTAATAAGGGATTACACGTGAAGAGTGCGTCCTCATTTCATAAACTAAAATTCTTAACATTAACGTCGCCCTCGATCAATGGTAAAGTACCTGGTGGAAAACAATGTTCACAAGATCGTGAGCACGCCAAAAAAAAAAGAAAGGACCTTACTGAATCACGACGAACTCTAGTAGAAGTTGGACGGAAACAAGGCTCGGCCATTCTTACAAGTAGGATCTACTTGGGGTCCAACGTGTCACGACAGGACCTCGGAAACTCGAATTTAGTTTAAGAGTAAGCCCTTCTTTTAGATTGGCGAACATCAATCGTCACTCAAGGTCTTAGACACAAACCTGGTCAAAATGAGTCCTCCATTCTTATTCACCCATATCCCCCCTTTACGGAAGTCAGGGGCCGATGTCGATTATTACATAGGGGTTCGGAGCTTTTTGGTTCAAGATGATGAAATGGAGAACGGCTCCGATGCACCAATATCACGACCTTGGCGATGACTCTACCAACTGACTCGGTAGAATCTATTCCTGATTTTGTAACTAAGATAGGCGGAGGTTGCTACAGCAGGTAAATGCTGATGACTAGCAGCGCGCACATCCTTATACGACCTGGTCATATCAAGTGGTTCGGCGATGGCCAATATTCTGGGGAAAATATAGCTATATGGCCTCAAATATTCCCAGCACGAGCCCTAATAATTATCAACAACTCGCCCGACTTCATCCAAGGGTCGTTAAAAATCGTAATGTATCAAATATAAGGATGGGAACGAGAGCTCGATTCTTCTCTACTATAATCCGACGATCCGCGCAGTTCGTATCGGACGACGGAATACAAGGTTGGTATCCCAACCAAAACATGATAGGAGTTTCGATATCAAAGTCAACTGAACCCCTGCATGAACATTCTAATCATATAACATCATTCTTCCTAACTGAGATCACCCTCACAGTGTCTAGTTGAAATCACGATTGAAATAAATTTCAGCCTGGCTTAGATTCACGAAGTTTCAACTAGAGGTGGGCTAAATCTTCTTGTTCACCTCCAATATACAAGAAACCCCTGGAACTCCACTCTTTTTCAGGGTAGTACATAGGTATACTCAATGCCAAACTGTGAACATTTTCCTTTCCATCAGTCATATCATCCATATCATGAGCGCCCACCCCTTTTTATCACGCGGGGTCACAGCATCCACATGATTCGGTGATCAAATCGAAGAGCACTATGCATTAGCGCCGGCCTTTGAAACCACGCATAGCAAGTTCCAAGATCATATGATTATGGAGCGTTTCCGTGCCATCTCATCAAATCACGAAACGAGGAACTCGACGTCTAACACCAGATGCTGGGAAATGTCTCAAGGTAGCAAACCGTGGTGAATTGATAAGGTTTGAACGGCCTCATATCCCTCCTACTGAGTATAAAACGTCAAACGAATGTCCTTCATTCTCATTCTAACATCCTTTTCATAACTTACATTTTTTTTTTACTTCTTCACCCCGCTCACCGGGCTTAATATTACTCTTCAACAATGCTTCCCACACATACGTCCATGTTCACGGAATCCTGCTCTCATGAATTCATCCCAAGTAATAAAAGCCAAAGCAGAGCCCCATGTCCTGCACTTAATGCACTCGCAAACCATGGCTATATGTATGTTATTCATATTTATTGGTTGGAATTTATGTTGTTTATTTATATCCGTACAGATCCCGTGATGGCAAAGATTTAACAATCCCGGAACTAGTCGGAGCACTTCAGAGAGTATACAACATATCATTCACTCTCGCCTTTCTTCTCTCGTTTGTGGCCGTCCTCTATTGTGGACATGGTCTTCGAGTAGACCTCGGTGACCTCTGCAAACACAACAAAATCGAGCATAACGCTTCGTTGGCTCACGACGACTGCCCAGAAGGAAAAGAATTTGCTAGCAATGCTCCAAGTCGTAAATTGCTCCAAAGCTTAGTGGGGTACGCTACATGTGGACACGGGCTCGGTTTAAATGATTTCGCTCGCGCGCGCGTAGACCGAGAATCAAGGCTTAAGACCCCACTCGACGAGATTCATTCCCAAATTGCGACGGGCGAGTCGGCACTGACATGGCTGGTGATGAAAGATCAACGGGGTGAAGTTCCAATAAATTTGGTCAAGGAGTGGTACGGCGAGGAGAGGATTCCCCACGGGTGGGTGCCTCCTGCGAAGCCTATTGGCCTATTTTCAGCCCATGGCGTAGCATCAATGATCGCGAAAGAAATGAAGTGATATTACCCGGGGCAGGGATCTGGATTCAAGTGTTTAATTCATTAAATTTATCTACTCATTATATACCATATAATCAATAAATTATATACCAGCACAATTTTAGAAGGGCACCCAATATATATCCATTTGCAGTATTTTCCAGGACTTCTAATTGTAGATTAAGGGAAATTGAGAAGGGCTCGAAGATCAGGGTCTACCTCCTCTTTTATAAACAGGACAGATCCCGTGAGACGTCAAACACCAATCGTTCTCAGGCTCGTTCAGGCTTAACGAGATACCCATTCCACACCAACCTGGTCCTTGAACATGACCTCGAGAAAGTCAATCATAGTCTATATTACTCAGCCACTTGGAAAAGAGATTGAGGCGTCGCTGATCAAAGAACTTGCCGCCCAACATATTCAGTCTTCGTCCCCTAACGATCTTCCCGATCACTTTGAACTTTCCACCAATAATGCGCTTGGGATGTCCATTGATGATGTAGCGAAGTTGCACGCAAGGTGGGCCGAACGACAGGAGATCGACATAAACGCGATCAATAGGCCCTTCTTCGTCGTCGCCGATGAAGGAATGTCACCCGATTTACATCCCAAAACGGTTTTGATCGTTAAAAGGGTGGATAAAGGGGGCGTATCTATAGGAGAAGGAAAATGCCAGGCCGTTCGTGTTCTAGCTTCGAACACAGGGGCAATTATCAGGACAATAGAGAGCGGGAAACACGGATGGGAAGATTTTTGGAGGGTTGCGCAAGAGAATGGCGGCTATTTTCCAGGTGAATGAAAGGGAAAGAAGGAAACCACGGCTCGAAATGAGTCAGGCATTTAGTTGTCTCAGAGAAATATGGGTAACTCTGCACATGCATATTTAACTTACAAGTTACTACCAAGCTCAATTTTTATAGTATATAGGAGTTTTTGGTCTCTACATTTTGTTCTTTTAAAACAGATATTTAGTGGTATATTTATTTAAACTGGTAGAATGATACCTTATTGTATATAACCCGCAGCTGTGTTGCGCTTTTGAAAGTGGGGGGGATCCTCGAACTTGAAATTAGCCCATCGGACTCCGCGGCGGCGCTTATTGCCACCGCGCCCAAACAAAACCAACCTGAAGTGTCGGCGTCTGCCGGTAATCTTCAGGTTTCGAACACATACAACGTGCGTCCTATAACCACATGCATGCCAGCCCCTCATTCAATCACGTTCTTCTAGACTATCAGACTTAATTCCTATCATAAACGGCCCCTGGTACAAGCTAACCACGGGGATACTCAATTCAAGGCCAGCTTCTAGGTCGACAATCTGGCCGACTCCTCATTCGAAGGCTGAAACGATTTGGATATCCACATTCGGGTAGGGGTGGATGCTTTTGCGTGGTTTACCTGCAGCGATCGATTACTTCTACTGGTCACCCGCACCGATCATCGAAGCCTGACCGATCAACGTCCTCGAACTCAAGCCTTTAAAAGGTTGGCCTTCGCAAATGGCTGAATCCAAATTATTTATCAATGTCTCAATCATACACTTCTTCTGTGTTCCAAATCAACCATGAATACATTCGACCCCAATTTGCTGTCAGCCGGTCACCCTGTCCTGCTCTAAATGCTCTCGCGAACCAAGGCTATCTGTAAGTGACTTCTTCAACCTCCGTTATAACCACTTGACCTAATACTATTGAACTAGAAATCGTATGGGTACCAACATTTCATTTTGGGACATGCTTGATGCCATAAGAGTGGTTTATAATCTCTCACTCCCTCTCGCATTCTTCCTCACATTCTTTGGCTTCCTCACATCCGGGGAGTTCTCACACCGGTCTAAAAATCTTGAAGACCTCTCATATTTCTCCATTTCGAGATGGGTCACAGCCATCTTTACAATGCCTTCCTGGACTTTGAATCTTGAATCTTTATCTATCCGAGGAACGTCTAAAATTACCCATAATGCCTCACTCGTACACCCCGACGACATTCCTTCCACTTCGCCAGATCCAGCACTTTTAGCTGAACTTCTGTTGCTTGCTCGTTCCCACAAAGGTGTCGAAGGCCTTACTCTCAATGATCTCGGGAGACTTCACGCCAAACGCGAGGCATCTACGTCACATCCTTTAAACTGGTTACACCAACAAATATCCCTTGGTGAATGTGGTCTTGCGTGGTCTGTACTGCAGGAGCAAATTTGTGTACCTGTCGCTTGTGACTCCTATTCGCTTCACAAACAAATGCGATTTGAAAGTCTGAGTATCATCCCTCTTTCCAGACTGCGTCAATGGTTCGGAGAGGAAAGACTTCCAGATAATTGGTGGAGTGTTGTTCGACCGAGGAACCACATCGGTTTGTTTGGAGCCAGGCGTTGTGCAGGAGAAGTCGCACGAGTGAGTGAGAGAATACGTAAGGAATAAGTTTGACAATTACATACAAATTCCAAACTTTTTATTCCAGTTAAGAAAATTAATTTTTATATGAAATACAGCTTTGTAATCATTTTTTCTTACTCCCGTTCCGTTCAGAATATCAGCTTGTCGAAAAAAACATTAAGGTTGTTTTAATTACCAAAACATGCCGTGTACCCGGATTGAACGAGTGACCTTCTCATTGCACTTTGCAAATGTACGAGTGAGACGCGCTACCACTACGCCAACACGGCATGTGATATTTTCTGTATCGTGTGAAATCGAACATTCACACTCGAAACTCCTGACATTTCAAGTCGCCGTCACAAACTACTAGTTATTCAACAAATTTCGGAGTCATTTATGTATCGACCTCAAATGTTATCCATCCAATAATCTCGCGATTACGTGACAATCTGACAATGCATTGTACACATCGGTGCGGTTATGGTGCAAACAACGAAAGAACATTATGGTCTATACATATGAGGTGGAGTAAGGTCAAACCTGTTGGTAGCACATCAGTATGTTAACGTGAGCGCACAAACCGGTGAGAGACACTTTTTTCGACATTCCGAACGACTATGAGACCTTTTTACAGCTCCTTTGCCACCCCTACTTTCTCGCTAGTAGTAGTGATGTGCCATGTTGGTACTCTGGGTTAGCCGAGACCTCAAACATATCACATTAGGGGGTCTGTTATTTCACACATGATGGCGCCTATATCGTGCAATGGAGCATGTTAGTTGACGCACATCCGCCGTTTCGACCCCAGCCTTACCTGGGACTTCAGGAAAACCCCACACTTCAGGTGTCCGTGAGGCGGCGCACGAGTGTACGACTTATTAACATGTCGGAAAACCGATTCGTGCTACCCACAACCGTTCCCACTGGTGCCGTCACTATTATATTTTAAGATTCTAACTCCCACACATTCTAAAAATCTAAATTCCGGCGTTTTGGCGCGGGCGATACCTGGGATTTAGAAGGTTAATCCGCTTCGTGCCAAGCCTATAATCTCTTTCGGAGTAGTTCATTGTTCTATGTAAGCAAAATTAAGCTATCCTTATTAAATTCTTCAACTTATACTGAATTTTTTGGGATTTGTCATGGACTAACCTGGGTATTTCAGCGATAGATTCGAAATGTGGTTTATTGGCCATGGACTTCATTCAGTTGATGCCTTGCTATAACGCGAGAGTTTCTGACCATGAAGGGGTTCTTTGATGACTTTCGTCATAAGCTAACCCTCTACTCCTGAAGCATAACCTTGTCACCTCATATTTTCGTGTATGTTATCTTGATTGTTTTTCACTCCGTTTTAAAATATTTTACGTGTTGTAGGCCCACGATCAAAAAAAAAAAAGAGCGCGCGCTTATGGGTCGAGAACCACCCAATTGGGAACCTGAGAATATGGGCGTTATGCTAAAACTTGCGCATGTTTCTAGAATATCAATCCGAGGGCTGCAATAAGAGTTACCTGGTCGGATGCTTGCCTCGTATATTCCTCAATTCCTCAGTTCAATGGTTTTCTGGTCAATATCTTATACTGCAACACTAAAGTCGAGTCCCTGGAAACACAAGTCTCTATTTTTTTTTACCCGCTATCAATTGAAATATCCATCAGATCAAATCATATCGTTTGCCGATTGATCTTACGGTGAGTCACGACTCACCTTATTCATTGTGGAACGTACGATTAGCCTTACTTCTAATTTCTTCGCAGGTTGGGAGTTCCGGCACTGACCCTCCTTGGAGCGGAGACAGGAATTTGACATTCTTCCGATACCCTTTATTTAGCTAACCCTTTGTCGACATTTTCAATAATGTTCCCTGCATCCAAATCTACCCTTTCGGACGGTCAGGGATGGACCCCGAGGCCCTCGCTAACACTAAGAAGCGGCTTGGGATTTTCCAGGGAGATACTGCTGCATTCCAATTTCTAATATCTAGCGCGTCCGCTTGGTTCACATCAACCCCGACTGCCAGACCCGCTTCGGAGGTCGCGGGTGCTATCCGGCATGTCCCCAGGTAAGAGCTTAAATTATATCTTGACGGTGAGAATCCAGATATTAATCAATCATCATCTTAGGCTTCTAGGAGCTTTGGACATGTAAACATCAACAGTTGGGTGAAAATTGTAGCTCCTAGCGATACTTCTTCGCGTGGATCTGAAAAAGGAGTATGACCCCTCTATTATTCACTACACGTGTGTGAGGGGCCCGGGACGCGATTGTACGTCGAACGAGCGTTCACCCTTCAACGACTTCGATGGTCCACTTTTTCCTTTTAGGCATGACCCGAAAGCGCACCGAATTTCTCATACCCTACAGATGAGGTTAGGGTCAATTTGTTCACAATAGGACAAGTTGTCCGCTGTAAGAAATATACCCAAAATTAGCTCTGATCCTGTTGATAATGATGCATGGATCATGCAGGAGAACATTCACAAATTTTATGTGCACCAAAGCACTGATCCCCCAGCCAAGCCCCTACTTCTGATGTCTATGTGTATATCTCTCGTAGAGTCAGCTTCAACAACACCAGTCGCGGCGTCTATAATTATGAACAATGTTCGTTTTAACAATCACTAGGTGATCAGAACAGAACGCTTTGGATGAATCCCCATTTATTCGTACGGGGAGCTGCCAACACCGGTGGTGCCTATTTCGTAAACGGCCGTAAACGAGATCCATCCCATGGACGGCAACCTTCTATATCCGGATATGTCACCATCTCCCACTGGCAAGCCCCGAAGATAACTTGGCCACAATGGTCCACCACCACCACAGTCGAGACGATGCGCGCCGCTCCTCGGAATATAATTGATTTTGGGGTTGGTGCGTGTTTTGTATGAAGCGTTGATTTCGAGATTATCTCTTATGCCTCGTGGAGTACAATTGACTTGTCGTAAGGTGGAATTCTGTTCAATCGGAGAGCAGCCGAACAACACTTATTAAATTCCCCGCTATGGCACTATTCCAAAAATTTCCCGAAGGTGTTTCTGAGCCGTGTCCACCTTCAGACGACACCATAAATTGAGGGGCCCGCACAATCCCTCGTTTTCTTTTGATCCCATAATTTTATAATCCATGCGCCCTACCCACCAAGAACACTCATTGTCGCCGGCTTTGTCACCCCACCATTCGTCTACTCCAAATGCCTACAAACTGCCTCCCACATCACAGGATCAGACGACGCATAAAGTACTTCAGTCCATTGTCAAAGGCCGTAGGAGTTGGAAAACTTTGGGAGGGGGTGAATTAGTTTGGCCACCCAAGCTCGAGGCCGCGCTCCTAAAGGGTTAGCAATTTATTTCATACTCTAAGCCCTTCGTTCCAATCCGAGAAAAATTAGGCCTCGAGAGATATCAGCCTGATGACTCGAGGGAGACCAGACTCCTTGGTCGTTTTCCTATGAGAAATCGCTTCATCTCTGATTATATATTTTCTACCACGGGGAAACGAAGGACGGCCAAACAAGTAGGCAGTCGACTGCAGCAGCTAAAGGTGACAGACACTGGTAGCAAACGCCTCTGTAAGTTTCACGCTTGTAGAGAGAAGCGCTTTCCCGCGGCTTACGTACGCCCACCTAGTGATGAGCTTGGTTTCTCCTCTTGGCCCCCCTGGACCTGCGTACCGTCGTCGACGTTTGGGCCGGTACACACGCGGCGGCTACGACAGCGATTCCACAAGTGATACGTCGAGCAGGCCGACGACACCAACGAATATACCAAATTATGACTATGAATTAGATACGCCGTCGGTTATTCACATCGACCTCCTCCCCGACGCTCCCACTGGCCCATATTCCGTCTCCCCCGATCAGCCTTCCCCTTTCGACGGTTCAGACATAATCGAGGCTTCCCAGAAGCCCCGGAGGCTTGACTCTATTGACCCTACCATCACTTTTGTATCGCGGTCACCAATATCCGCTCAGTCATATTTCATCGTGAAGTTGGCTGGGATGTCGGTTTTTTCTGAGACGACCCTTCTGACCCCTGCTGGCCCCGCCCCCAGGGACGCCGGCGGCGCGCTGTTATTTAGTACGAAACTGGTTCCAGGGTGGTGGGATAAAATATTAGACAGCCCCGGTGAGTTATAAATTTGGGACATGTTAAAGGCCAGCTTCTGATACGTCGGAAAGATCCTACTCAATATACAATCCTCCAGGAAGTTATCCACGACAGCCCCTCGTCGTTCCTCGCTTTCTCGGCTGTCTACAAGTTTCGCTACCCATCTGGAAGCCGTCATCATCATACCCACCCTCCGCCCATGTCGAGAAGACTTGGCGGTGGGGTGCAAATCAAATATGAGTCTAAGGATTCCTTTGATGATCTGATTGCGACGGATGGGTATTTTTCTGACATGGGCTTTAAACGGATCGGACCTTATGATGATCACTTTACGATCGCCGTTGAGCCAGGCTGGGGTGGCCATGAATATTCACCTTTGCAAATGCCAATAGTCAGCAATCAATCATCCATCTATACTCAGTCGACCCCGGGTGGAAAATTATATAATGACTTCGATTCCCCGCCGTCACTTGTATCGGCATCATTCCTGACGGAGAATACCAATTATGGAATCCATTCGATGAATAACCTAATGCACCCGCATCATCAGTTACATAGATGCTTCTAGGACTGTCTACCATGCCATCTGGCGTACAGTCGCGCAGCCTGGGGCCGATGGCGGAGAGCCCATCCTAGGCTGTTGCTGAAAGGCCCTGAAGCAAGGACTGCCGGCTGTTAAACACGAGTGAGCTGGTGCAGCCCACGCAAGTCATCCAAGACGGTTATATAACTGCAAAGCCTTTGGACGCCCTTACCCCCGGCAGAAGAAAAATGACCCCAAACGATTTTAATTTATCTTACTTACAACCAGGGATTTCGAGTGCAATTCTTGGATTTGACGACCTTCTGCTACGCCATCTACGATTTAGATCAAGTTTCTGCATAATTATAATTATTCAACTTTACCATAATTTATACTTTACTTTTTGTGTAGCCAGGATTGACTTGTAATTCATTCACGAGCTGGGGAAAAAATGCCACGTACCCGGATTGAACGAGTGACCTTCTCATGTCCCGATGGTACAAGTGAGACGCGCTACCACTACGCCAACGCGGCTTGTTTGGGTCTGGATCAATAAATATAAATTCAGCGACGCCCCTCGCGGTGCTCCCGAACCGCAACTCCCCTTGTATAGATGAATCGAAGGTTGACACATACAAGACATCTGTTCAAAACACATCTCGATCTTACTGAAATGCTCTGTGTTGAGGTATACGAGACCTTGAAGAAGATATGATACATGGGATACTGGGTTTTTTAAAGTCCAGTATGTACAATTAATGTGATGTTCCATAAATGAGATTGTAAAATACGGAGCAGAGGATAAAGGTAAGGTAACAAGTAAAATGACGTGCATAGAAATCAGGGAAACCGGAAGTGAAACGGAGGGTTCGTTGTACAGGTCCTGATAGGTTTTTTTTCGAGGACCCGTTCATAACGGGTGCCTGTATTTCGGAGATATGGGCGGCATGTGGCGATTGGGATGGCGCTTGTTACGGCAGATGTTGATAGCATGAGTAGGGGTGGCTCGTGGGGACTAGCGTAGCTAGCGCGCGATGGGCATAATACGAGTCGACGTTCTAGTAGTCCTTGATCAATTCAAATCCCAACTCTTTTCACCACTGGCCCATTTGGTAAGATCAGTTTGTCTATCTGAACGTTTCGTCTTCCAGTTCCTGCTTTCCGGTCTAATAACATAACGAGGATGATTCAGTCAACTATTCTCCTCCAGCCATACCCGCAACTCTTTGACCAGCCGCTTAGCCGCGGACTCGAGCCTCTCCTCTCGGTTTCGTGGAGTCTCAGCAATAGTGCGCTTTCCTACAGTACTCAGCGCGAGCCCGACCTTACGAGGGGAAAAAGTGACGGAGATGTGGGCGAAGGATACGGGGGTGATCTGGCGGGGGCCCGATGGAGCGAGGGGTTCCCTGGATTTGGATCTAGGCCTGAAGGAGGAGAAGAATGACGTCGATGTTGGTGGTGGAGTTGGTCGCGGAGTGGAGCGGGCCGAACTTGTGGGTGTGCTCAGCGAGGGGTGCGTTGATAGCGTTACGACGCCCTCTCGCAGCCCGTAAACCCGCACTAGATCCTCAAGGCGGCTCTTTGGCTGGGTGAGGTCGAAAAGATCCTTGAAGGACTCATCGCGCTCGAGGTGGAGCTCCGAATCGTCTGCCCAAACGTCCTCACGGACCTTGAGTGCGATAAAGAGGTCGAGAGTGGCCGTCTCACGTTGGAGGGTAGGGGCCCGCGAGATCTGAGTCATATCTTCGGATGGGGCTTGCAGGGGGAAAGGGTCGGAGGAATAGGGTGGGCGGACGAGTGCATCGTAGGCGGGGAGGTAAGTTGACCGCAGTACATGCATGCATGCTATGTACAACGCATGATTCACCAACCTCAACGAAATCGACAACCAGTACAACGTCTTGCGCTGGCGCTCTACCCGGCCTTCATCCCGTAAATCCGTTTGGGGGAATGTCGAGTACACGACTTGGAGCAGGATGTGTGGGGGAAGGGTTGGGAATGTGCATCTCGAGCGACGAGAATGAAATGGTGGAGGGCCAGCGGAAGACATGTATGCTGGAGGTCCCTGCATGATGGTTTTCTCGTCAATAATCATCGTTGATTCGTGATGCCTCTTATTGGTAGCTACTTATTCTGGATGAGAAGCAGATGGGAAGAATGGCAGCTGCGCACTGCGACTCGTCACTTGAGCTGCGCGGGGCCTTGATCCAGTCAATAGCGATGCGGCCGGCCCGGAATCCGGCGGGTGCCACCTCAATCCTTCATATTTAGAGCTGTTAAATACAACATATACCTATAACTGGGACGCTTAAGGCAGGCTCCGCAGTAGTCTACATCTATTATTTTTGCTTGGGTGTGGGGGGTAAAGGGTAGTCAATATTTATTTGATAGTGACATCGTTTCTCTAGCAAGAGTCCTAGCAACACAACAAAGTGGGACTTTTCAATTATTGATACCTAAATACGAGAGAAAGGCCCACTAGCAGATAATGGACAGCTTAAGAGTAGCGTTTCGGAGGAAATTCGCCGCGTAACGTACGTACCCAGGTATACTTACACAGCCTTCACCCTACTAGGCATTACATCAGATTCGGAGCCTATCCTGGCCCTCCCACTTCTTCCACAGTTTTATAAACTTAAGTCTGAGGTCCAATGTTCACCAACTCAGACAACATCAGCTTCAAATCAAAGAAATCTTTCTTTGGGCATTGTAACATCATGGCCAGAGATGATCAGAATTGAATTTTTTGGCCACGGCAACGTGCCCAAAGTCCAGACCTGCTGATCTCCGAAAACGATGAGCCGGCGGCTTGATGGACTGTCCGGGGTCTCCCGGAAAGCGAAGACCCCGAGCCCGGGGTTCGAACTCAATCTCCAACCCCCATCATCCCCCAAATCCCCTCTACAAGTCTGCATAATCGCCCCCTCATCCGCGGTATCTTTTTCATTATCTTAGATAATTTGTGCAGAGTGTCACAAGATATATGGGCTCTGCGAGGAAGAATCTCAAGGGAAAACAGCAGCCGCAGCGTGAGTACCGACCCAATCTCACCATGAAGCCACGAGGCCATGAAATGTTTATTGATGCATGTTTTTATAGTGCGCTCACGTACGACGAGGTCCTCAAAAGGCCGGGTATGATATTTTCTCATCATTATTTAAAACTTTGCTAAGTCTATTATAGTTGTTAACGTCAAGTTCTCCCGCATCTTCGAATGCACTCCTCACCACTCAGCTTCGTACCCTTGGTCTATACGCCGCAGACACCATGGGCGACGGGAACTGCCTTTTTCGGGCTCTTTCTGACCAGCTCTACGGATCTCCATCACGCCACGCCGAATTGCGAGCTCAGATCTGTGACTGGATCGAGAAACATGCAGAGCGTTACAGTCCATTTGTGGAGGACGATAGGGGACTCGACGCGTACCTGAGGTGCATGCGGGAGGACGGTAAGTACGCTGGATCGTTTTCGATAATGTGACTAAGATCAGGGCAGCCACATACGGCGGACATATGGAGCTATCCGCATTTGCGCATCTCACCCATCGTAACGTGAAGGTCATTCAACCTGGACTCGTCTATGTCATCGAGTGGGCCGCTTTTTCGTCTCCGCCTGCATCGCCTGTGGTCGCATCAAAGAAATACGATTATGATTACGACCAGTATGATGGGGAAGACGACGAGGGGGATGATGCAGAAAGCGAAGACGACTTGCCCTTGAACGACAGAGAACGCAGGCGGGTGGAGAGAGATCGTATCAAAACAACGCCCAAAAAGCAGAAGTTCAAAGGCAAGAAAGGCAAGCAGGACAGCCAGCCTCAAATGCCTACTGCTCCCTCTTACGATACAGAGGGCGATAGCGCTGATAAAGGAGACGGCACGATATACGTTGCATATCACGACTGGGAACACTTTTCATCAATTCGCAACTTGAGGGGCCCGCATGCTGGGCTCCCATGTGTTAAGGAGACGCCCCCACCCCCAGTGGCGGAGGAAGCTCCGAGAAAGGGAAGAGCAGGGAGTATAGTGCCAAGCTCCAAACCCGTATCAACATTAGCTTCCAAACCCCTATTGGCTACTGAGCCTACACCTACAGCGCCGCTACCATTATCATCTGCGTCTTCCGAAACGAAGAAACCACGCAAAGTCATCTTAAAGCTCAAGCCATCAAGCTCCCCGGCTTCATCCCCCATGGCCATGGATCTTGATCCCACAACCATACCCCTCCCCGACTCTCGTTCTGCCTCGCCATTGCCTTCGTCCCCCTCTACATCCTCTCTATCTCCGCCCACATCGTCGGCGTCCTCATCATCTTCTGTGGGCGCACAACCACACCCACTGCGCGCTTCTCACCTCCCAAATGAAGCATCGCCATCGCCATACCCTCCTCCTCATTCTATGCCAACGTTTTCGGAGCTGCATACCCTGCCTGCCTTCTCTCGTTCATCCCTTTCGTCATCAACCGCCCCTGCCTCAGTGGCAGCAGCGAATCTCTCACCTCGTGCAACCCGCTCTCCAAAACGTTCCTTCGCCGAGTCGGAGAGTGAAACATCTGAGGGAGGTGTGGATGTAGGTATAGGTGGTGGGAAGCGTACACGCCGAGTTAGCCGTACAAATAGCTCAGAGGTCAAGGAGGAGGCACTACTGGGGGATGCCATGGAAGTGGACACCTCACGAGGACAGGGTGTAGGAGGGGCCACGGGTGGAGAAAATATAAAATTGGAAAACGACGAAGACACGCCCAGTCTATCTAGCCACGGCTCACGTTCCTCCTCGTCTTCCTCGTCCTTGTCATCCTTGTCTTCACCGGAATCATCGCCTGAGCCTGAACAATTGGAGGAGGAATTCGTCCCGGAGCCGGAACCTGTTCCGAAGAAAGCCCACCTGAAGACGCACGGCGGAGAGAAGCCTCTGACTCGCAGACAGAGGAAAGCTTTGGGATTACCAAAACCTCGGGAAGTGCTGGTTGCCCGGCGAGCTGTCGGCAAACCAGCAGGTAGTGCGGGGAAGATCATCATCCCTGGAGGCCGATTTCAACGACCGGCAGTTAGAGGCGTCGACGACGAAGGTGAAGGTGAGGGAGATGGAGAGTGGAAGACGAACGGGACCGGGAGGGTGGATGTTAGGGGTTTCCGGGAACTGAAGATATAGTGTCTACGGTGCGTCAGATAGGGGAGAGGGAGGCAGAGTTACGATTTTCATGACCTTTTTTTTTTCCATTTTACTCCCTCCATTCCATTCCATCGCTTTGCAAAGTGTTTTTCATCTGCTCGCTTCTTTCATTATTGGCATATAATTCGCTCCCATCATCTCCGCATTTTTCATTCATCACCTGCATATCCAGCACTACGATCGCATATTGGTTAACTTTATACTGCACTACATACAGACACAGACACCTCATCTACCACCACACCACTACGACTCACGTAGAAGCACATACATCCATTACTATCCATTGTTGTCATTGACATCTTAGTTACACTATATATTAGCCATAGGCCATCGTCTGTACGAATACAAATATGAATATATAACTGCGGATGGAAGCTACGATCTGGTTATCGTACCCCTCATCCGTGTTCTTTCTCCCCTCTTCATACCTGGTGGGTAAGCATGGAAACTTTTTGTCGGAACGATTAGCGGGGCCCCGATTCGGTAGCGACCTTGGGCGTCAACGTTATGCCGCGTTGGCGTAGCGGTAGCGCGTCTCACTTGTATGAAAAATTCAATGAGAAGGTCACTCGTTCAATCCGGGTACGTGGCATAGTATGGTTTAGTAAAGTTTTTTGGTCCACTCAGTGATTGAAGCTTAGGGTTCTGATTTTGAATATTGAATACCGATACTTTTTTTGAATCTTTTTATATAAACGTCAAGCATTGATTTAAAAATCTATTACAGGTACATGTAATATAATACCCTGTACAACAGTTACGACAAAACAATACGCATTGGCCCGGGATCAGATTGGAATGGCATTTTCTGCCCACAAGACATGCCGTTGAACCTACATAGATGGTGGATCAGTGTACATTGTGCAAATCCAACTAGTCTCCCTATATATGCGTCATATAAAAATGTACGTCGACGACCGCGCCAAGTCATGTTGGCGTAGTGGTGATGCGCTCCGCTCGTATTCAGCACGCCCGGGTACGTGACAGTCGTGGTTTTTATATATCACGACCATTGGAAGGTCAACGATATATATAGGCCGGGGCAACAACGTTGCTGTGCCTAAATCCCCGGATAAGGTACGTTTCTGCAGAAGGCTCTCCCCAATGTCCTGAAGTTATATTTGTTAGTAACGAACGCGCTTGATTCGGTGAGGTGCTGTTCTCTTAGAAACCGGCCCTATCAAAAAGATTATATCATTCTTGTTGCACCGGTACCGGTAACGGAGATTTACACATGGTCGTGTACAAAACCGAAGATATGCATACAAAGTTTGGAACAAGAAGGATCGTTAGTTCCGTACCCCCGCCCCCCCGCGTAGCCCGAAAACGACTGTTCCGACACGGTCGGTTTTGTACTACGGAGCTGGGGGATAGAATCATTGAAACTCGAGGGAAAGATAGGGGTTGCGGACCGAAAAGTTTTACTTTGCTGCTCGTCTCGTGAATAGATTATTACGAACACATAATGACAGTTGCGAACAGAGATCAGAGCAAAATGGGTGAAAAACGCACACGATCTCCCAAGTTAGGTTTTTTGAGAGGCCCGGTATAGGCATATTTCCTTTTTGTAGGAATGAAGAACTCCTGGAGAACAGAGATGGTAGGAGTGGTTCGTTTGCGAAAACCCCCGCATCACGTTCAAATTTGAATCATGATAAGGAATCAGGACTAGTTTAATCTTAGCCTGAATTCATGGCAGGGCTTCGATAACACTAGGCTCATTGCTTCCATATTGCCTTGCACAAGTCAGAGAATGTATTCAGTAATGTCGATCCTTCGAAGGCCCCGAACAGACCCACGGTGGACGAAGACTCAAATTCGGGAATCGTCCTGTAGGAGAGCGCTCTCAGAATCCTCGAGCAGATTTTGGGCATGACCTGCAAAGGCGACCGGCAAAGATGAATGTATGGGGTTTCCCCTGGTTTGTTGGACTGATTATGATAATTTATATCAATTAGTTCCATTGGGTTCTGTGGGTTTGCCCAGAAGTTCAGAAGGCAGTGCACCCTGTTGATACTGTCAAGCAGCGGTGACACTTCACCGTCATAGACACTTGTTTTTACCGACATAACGTACTTACTAAGACCAGACCGCAAGAGCTTAGTTGGTGGAACATGTTCTGATTGTTGGATTCTTGAACTTATTGTTAAGGGTTGAAAATGACTTAATGTAACGATTACTATCGTTTGAAATTTTGAAAACTCGCCTCTTGAAATTTATCCTCCGTGAACATTCATAATTATAATCTCTGGCCATGGTCTTATGGTCTCGTAATTGGAATGATAGAGACAATGCATAATGGGAACAAAGTGATGTGTCGTTATTGTTACCTCCGACGAACCTGGCTCGCTGTTCGGAGTCAAATCGCCTTCATAAATCAGGGATCAAATGAACGCCCCCAAACTACTCTATAAACTCAAATTCTTCCTCCCTTCTCCTTATCCGTAGTCCCCCCGAATTAAGCTCTAATCACACTCTTTTTGCACCGTCTTTAGGACTCGCCACTCTCTTCGAGTCTAAAACGAGGTCTCCCCTTCCACCATGATTTTTCGACACACCCTTTCTCGACGCGACGCTTTTCTGGTTCTTTTTGGGGCTTCAACGATGCATATATGGTCAGTACTGACACGCCAAACGGTCATGGGCCAGTCAATTGTCATCGACACGCAGTATCACAACCACAATATACCACTAGAACCACCAAATCCCCCACTAGACCCCTTCCATATCATCAAGGACCTACCACCAACCACCATTACAGAAACCGCACTAGTTACAGAAACAAATATAGCAACGAGTACCATCGTTCTTCAGCCCTCGTCAACACCCAGCGCCCCAGAAGCTCACCCCCCTGACATAGGACGGGACTTTCCTCATACGTCAATCATATCCCATGCGCCTGGTTGGACACTCTTCCGAAACTTATACATGTCGAATGGTACCCTCTACATTCTTTCGTCGAATCGGTCTTTCCCCGAAATCAGGATGATGACAAGTACTGGCCTGGAGGCCTTCAACACCCCGGAAAACATTGCTTCTCGTGAACCTACGGCGCAGAATATGGATTTTATTACACCGGAAGAAGCACATAAACGTTGGGGTGGTGATTTGGACCGCGGAGAGAAGAATAGGGTGTGGTCGGTCGAAGGAAATACAGTCAGTAATTTGTCATTTTAACGGGTTTTATGTATAAACTTCACTTACCGACTCATAATTAGCTTCTTTTTAATGACCCAGGTCAATTCCTTCGCCATTACTATCACCTCGTGGCAGAACTCTTCTTTGGCACCTGGGCCTTCTGGCATGGTGCATGGTCTAAGCCCACCACGTCTCTGGCTGCTTCATATAGTCTCACGCACGCGTCGCCACCGCCAATTCACCGCGCCATTTTTGCACACTCAAACGCTGATGGCTGGCGGGATAGCCCTGGATTCAATGCGTATTTCCTTCGTGCCGCATTCCCATCATTGACTGTCGAGGTTCAGGAAGATTGGGCTGACCGGATAGCCGCCACCGCTGGCGGCAAAGACAACGACCGTGCCTGGCACTTCCCTATCGTCCTTCTCACTGACCGCAGTGCAGCACATCGAGGTGCAATATGCGGGAGTCAGACACAGAGGACAGCTTCCGAGGCGTGGGAGTTCATGAAGCAAAATAACCAGCTGATGGGATCCCGTGTAGGTGGCTGGTGGCAGCCTGTTAGGGAAGCTGTATGGCGGTTTGCCGGTACGCCACTTACCTTGGACCCCGTTCCTAGTCCCGATCTGCCTGAACTCTCGAAAGCGGAGGACAGCCTTGCACTTCCCATGCCCGACAAAATTATCATTACGTATATCAGTCGACAGGGAGTTTCTCGGCGGAAGCTGATCCCAGAGGATCACGACAACTTGGTACTCGCTCTTCAAGAACTAGTCGCCCGTAAGGGAGACTCCTGGCGACTGGATATCCTCCAGGCGGAGAAGCTGACCAAGGATGAACAAGTCCAGGCTGCAGCAAGAACAACGGTGCGCCATAGTGTACTATGCTTCTAAATATACTCTCATATAATTGTAACTCAAACAGATTCTTCTCGGTGTACACGGAAATGGTCTTACACATCTCGTATTCATGAAGCCTACTCGGGTGTCAGCTGTGATCGAACTGTTCTATCCCGGCGGCTTTGCTCAGGATTATCATTGGACATCACGAGCCCTGGGAATGGATCACTTTGCAGTATGGAATGACAAGTAAGATATCATCTGCTCCACAATTTTTAGATATCTTAATCTGAACACGTTAGGTACATTACACACCCTACTAAACCGGAAGTAAGCTATCCTGAAGGCTTCCAGGGCAACAGTATCCCAGTCCATGGTCCCACTGTTGCCAAACTAATTGAGGACCACATTGAATCAAAAAGTCAAGCTCCATAATGTGATGAACGGTCCTCCGCAGTGCGCAGGCTGCTCTGAGATTTTCAGAATGCAGAGGACTGAATATGTGCATGCCATAACCGTTGTATTTTGTTGTTTCTTTCTTTGTGGAACCTATTGATACCTTGTATTATTTGCTGTTTCTAAACATTAGTGCAATATTAACTTCTCGCCAACAAGACGATGCATATTCACAACACATGTTAAGGACAGAACACCGTCAAAATCTAACCTATTCCCTACTGTTTGTACCCACCGTCCTGCTGGCGTGGTTACTTTTGTGCTACTGATAATGTCACAGATAAGAAGTTACCCGATCATGCACTCAAGTCTTTGTCAACACATGATTGTGCCCGAAGCTGAAGGCACGCTTGTGGGATTAACCTGATTCTGTCGCCACAAATCGAGAAAATTGACCACGTTCACCTACGAATAACTAACATGTGCTGCTTCACAGGTCTTTAAAGCGGCAAGAAAAACCCTCTAATGGTAATTTTTCCCTTGTCAAAAGCGGACATCAACTTCAATCTCCCACAATGCGCTCCTCGGTGACAACTAGGCACACCACACAAAACCTCACTATTATTAGACTCGTACGTGCACCTCCAACTTTGCAAATTTTACTTGACCTACACGCGGAATATGACACAGGGCCTATGGTGACCACGGGTGACCACGCCGCCTCCATCCATCAAAATACTAACAGTAGCCGATCACAATCGAAGTTTGATGAAACTATATCTTGATCACAGATCGACACGATACCTACCCATCATGTTTGTTACTTGACGTTAAACCATCCCGTCGGTGAGCGGTAAAAGGCTCCACTTTGGTACAGGCAGTGCACAGCGGGGAGTAGTGCGCTCTTTACAATTAAATAAACGTGATATGTCCGGGTGATCATAGAAAATAACTTTCATCGGCCCCGTACAGGACGCACACTTAGTGCAGACTTGCTCCATCCTTTGCTAAAAATATACAAGTGATCCAGCACAAGGGAATTCACGTTCATCTCACGGCCGGAGGTTGACCGACGACAGCTATGGCATTCTGGGATTGTCTAGGTTCCGACATAATGTGACCGTTGGCGGCTTCTTCATGATCATCAAGAGTTTCCAGGTATGTCCGGGTTAATAAGGCTTCCAAAGAGCCAAGGTGGACTTTGACGATTCCCTTCCAC